TGTAGTATCTTAGATTAGGCTAATGATATATTTGATAAATTAAACAAAGTATTTTTCGCGGGATCAGATTAGGTTTCTGTTTTCATATGGTATCAGAATATTAGCAGAAGTCCAGCCGGAAAGGAACCTCACTATGCATATATTATTAGTTACTGCCATGTGAAAGTGATATCACATCGAATACAGTGCATTCACTATAAATATGCCAGAAAACCTAAAGAAATACGTGACATCATATCCATATATTCATCATGAAAATAGTTATCGCCTTACCCGTTTAGCTAATTTTTCCCAGTACAAAATGTTTGAAGTTTCTTTTTTCGCTCAACATCTTCTGAGGGGACTTGTTCTAAGACTCTTTTCAAAACATTCTCAAAATTCTCCACCTCCTTTTCGAGAACGCCTGTCCATTCACCTTGTTCTACTCGTACAAACAATGCTGTGGAAATTCTGATGATATCAAGGGGTTCTCTTGTTAAAAGAAACTCTTCTATGTTTTGATAGAATAAAAAAGTTAATATTAGTGTAAAGCTTGCTAGGTGAAGTAAAAAAAATGTATGGTAAATTCCAATACCTTTCGCTATACTGCCTTTTTAAATGTCTACCATTTCTCAATTACGTCCTCTATAACCTTACATTCATGTTAGAGGAAAGAGTTGGGAGAAATATGCGAGGTACTTTATGCCAAAAGTTTGTGTTCAAAGATAAGAGCATGCGGAATGTACATTAAAGATCTCGACATTTACAAAGGCATTGGGAGTAATGCATATATGACTTTTTTTTATTTGTCCAACTGCTTAATACTAAGATATAACAACGTTAAATAAATATATTCTACTCAGCATATAATAGAAATAATCCGTCCCTCTGGAGCAAATATACATATTAGTAAATACTATTCCGCTAAATATTGCAAGAAAAAAATTCAAAATATTTTTTGGAGATCGGTTTATGTGTGAAAAGATATTATCGATTTTTTGAGTACTTTTCATAATAGGCAATAGTAGATAGCAATTCAAATGTAAACCTTTGGTAGAAATCAACAGCCCTATATGCTATCCTATCCAATCGTCGTCTTAACTGATATTTCTTAACTTCTATCCATCTACTAGAAGAACAATAAACATACTCCTCATATGGTAGGGTTAATTTGATTAGATTAATTATTCTAATATATTTTGAGTAACTTTTTCTAAATAAAGCATAAAACTCATTGCAAGCTATAGAATACTCTTCTTGCATCTCAGGATTAATAACCATCTGTCCTTTTCTAAGTATATCTAAGAATTTCTTTCTATCAGGAGTACCATCATTTCTTACTGCCTCCCAAACTTGTTTTGCCGAAGATTCAGGTCTCTTCTTATAATTCCTGTAAGCTCGCTGGATAACTTTTGCATAGAAATTTTCAAAGCTATAATGATAGTAGTATTTAGGAATCAAGAATCCCCAAGATCTCTTCATTGACCTTCCTAAACTTCTCGAAAAATACTTTGTTATAGATTATATAGCTATTTATTTCACAAAAAATAAGTTATGAATATAGATGAGATAAATAATGTTAATATTCAGTCAAAAGATATTAAGTCTATCCCTTCCTTGCATTTTTTTGCACAGAAGCCCAGTATTCATCAACATCAATAAAGCTAGATGCACTTGCACTACGCTGAATTAATGCAAAAGGCTTTGGTGGTAATGGAGGAGAGGTCAATGAACAGCTGTAAGGCGCTTCGCATGGCTTATCCATCTAAACCTGCCTGTTTATGCATGGTGGATGCATCTCTTGAGCATTATTCACAATCTGATAAAATTCCTTTTGTCTTAGAGCATTTAGAAAGACGTGTTTCTGCCTGATATGTCCAATCCTTCTAGTAATATTCACCAACTATAAAACATATCTACGTAATTTGTTTTCTACATAAGAACTGAATTTATTATAAATATGAATATTACTACATATGTCAGTGAACCATACTCCGCGACAGAATTTACCAAATGGATTCTTCATCTGCAAATCATATTTATGAAATACTACCCATTTATCTGAGGGGGTCATCTGTTCTATTTCCATGTAATCTTTGTCATTTAGGTTACAAAATTAGTTTTCAGTACAAGCTGTGGCCCAATGTTGATACATACCACATTTACCATTAAATGAAGCATTTCTGGATTTTTCAATCGTAAACTTGTCTTCCAATGCATTATATTCATGTCTTTCACCTATTGACAATCTAGATATTCCAAGATATACAAGTTGATTGCACGAGAAACAGATAGCCATTCCACATAGTTTGAAGTATTCTTATCTATCAACAAGGTGTGGTGATGCTTTGTAAGCGTAAAAGCAATCTTCCTTACCATACATGTAGATTTTTTCCCTCCTAAAATACATCAGGTGATCCCAAATCCTATTCTTTTACTCAGTTGGGATTTCACCATTTTTAATATAATGCATCCTAATATACTTGACATAATCCTCATATCTATCACCACTAAAACTTTGTCTCCTAAGGTCAGACATAATAAATGTACTCGATTATAATAATAAGCTGTTCAAGAGTTACAATGTTTTATAGTGACTTATAGCGATTTTGTAAAGATTTTATCAAGTTATACTATGATAATATCGGATTCAAATTTATACAGATTAGAGAATTATAGCAGTTGTAATGTTTTATAGCGAATTTATTAATTTGTAGCCATTTTAGTGAGATTATATACTACTAAATCCAAATTCATTTTTATTCGATTAGAAGCTCCTTTTTACTTCGCTATTAAGATAAAGTGTACATTTTTTTTGAATTTAATGACCGGAGGAGGAAGAAAAAAAAGAAATTTATATTTACATGTACATAAATTAGTTTGTGGATCTCTCGTAATTAACAGGAATTATATGCTTCGCATGACGTATTTATACGGGATGATCGGTTAATCAAAAGAATAGTTTTAACATATATGTTGTGCGTCAAGTGTCGATTTGCGTCAGATGCAGCTGACGCACGTTAGGTGTCGATCGATACTTAACGTGCGTCAGTTAATATTTGACAACTGAGGCGCGTTAGCTGTTATCTGACGCAAGTCAGCTGTTATCTAACGCAATTTTTTTTAATTACAATTGGTTCTTTTTAAGTAACACAAAATAAAAAAAAATTTTTTTTGTGAAATTCGGACGATTCGCATTTTATTAATCAAATAAATTTTACCGAAGTACATTTTCTTTTTATTTTTCATTTTAAAATAAACTATAGTCTCTAATTCCTTTTTAATATTCTTCTTTTATTCACTTTTTCTCAAGTAAATATCATATACCCTATATATTGAATATTGTATAAATGAAAAATAATAACAATAATGATAAAAATAAATTGTGAAATTTTACTTGCTTAATTAACTTGTTTGTTTTAGCATTGCCGGCCACCATGACATCGGCTTTCACAATTATTTCCCATTTTTCTACAATGACACCTATTACTATTGCAATTCCCTTTACAATTACAAATTGATCCTGTAGTTGAAGCTACATTTTGAAGACGTGCAGCCTCTCTGACAGTAATTGTATTTGTAGGTATTGTTTCAAGTTCTGGATATTGGTTAACACCAAGGGGATCAATTTCTCCTGATGAATAAAAGATATTAATTATTCCAAATTGAGATTCTAACCAATATTGATTATTAATTTTTTCCAGGATTTTGCATGGAAGTATAGGACGGTCAGTACCAAAACGGTCAATTTTTGGTACAAAAATTCTTACTAAATCTCCAATTTCGTAGCTATTTGGCCTTTTCCTTCCTTTATTCATTTGTTTAACCATTTTCTCAGTATAATTTTCAAGGTCTCGTCGAGCAGCTTCTCTTAATATTTCATGATTTGTAATCTCCTCTTGTAATGAAACTTTATTTGTAATATCAACAAGAACAGGATCTATAGGAATCAGCTGATTTGATACTTCATTTTCCTTATTTTCCATATGTAGTACTTTGTATTGGTTTTGCGAAACCTAAAATTTAAATTGATAATTTATTGAAAGATTTTATTAAATTAATTAAAATTAATAAAAATTAATAAAATAAAAAACTAACGCTAATAATAAAAATTATAATAAAAAATTATAATTTACAATAAAAATTACACTAAAATTAATAAATTATAATAAAAACTAAAATAAAAATTATAATAAAATAAAAATATAATAACGAAATAAAACTAAATGTAATAATACCGTATGAAATGATTTTGGTGTATAATAAGAATCTAAAAAAAATTTATCATTAATATATTAAATTAAATTTAAATAATAATACTAACAACATATTTACCAAGTAAATTTTCGTTAAAATCAAAATCATCATCTAAATTTTCATCAGAATTTTCAAAATCTACAATTTTGATCGTTTCAGAAATATTTTCTTCATCATAAATGCTTCAGATAAATAATTCATCAATTAAACTACAATTTCCACGAGGTTTATTACCATAAACAAGTTCGTAAGGGGTTTTTTTATGTGATTTACAAACAGAATTATTTATGGATAAAATCACTAAGCGAAGTCCATATGACTAATCATTTCTTCCAGAGGTTTCCCTCCACTTCCCTAATTTTTGTTGTAAAATACCATTTCCTCTTTCTACTAAACCTTGAGATTGTGGATGACGAGGTCTTCCATTGATAATTTTTATAGATGGCCAAAGATTAACAAGTTCTTTGATTATTTCAGCACAAAATTCTTTTCCGTTGTCAG